TTGGTATGTTAATAGAATTTAAAATTTCTAGGGTAAACGCCCTTTATAATTATTTTCTTGTGTCTGTATTTCAACGTCAAATTTGGTTTATGGCCAGTCATCGTACAAAGTGCCGCGAGCGCCGTCCTTTGTTCTAGCGGTTTGCCCGGTTTTTGATTTGACTTATATCCAGATAATCTTGTCTTAAGTTTGCTTTTAGTTGTAGCAGCATATACCTTCTGGCATATGTTTGTTTTGTCCCGTGCATATTTCATCTTATATGCTACATTGCACTTATCTTCTTTTTTTAATTTCCAATTTAGTTTTGCTAAATACAAAGTTGTCGTTATTGTTTGATATAAAGACTAATTGATACTTGTCTTTATTATAAATATTAGAATCGCTCCGAAAGTCCAGGTATGTATATAATTGGCTTGTACAACGTTTCCGTTTTATTCCTCTTTTTGATATTATTATTGTTTTATATTTGTGCCTTTTATTAGATCGTCAATTGTGTTTTCTGGAAGTCATTGTTCTGAAGGACATTACGTTTCTCTTTTGTTTTTTTTTTTTTTCGGTCGCTTATGATGTGTGCTAACCCTGTTATTTTTATTCTTTTTGGGTGTAAAAAGGGCGTCCAAGTATGATAGCTTTTCTTGTTCTTCGGTTTCGTGTTTAAACTGAATATGTCTATTAAAGAAGTTTTAAATATATAAAGTCTCCGTTTTCTTTACAACACAAAATAGGTCGTCAACATATTTAATCAATACTTTTGGTTGTCATTAAATTCTCCATTGTATCGTCCTATAACTACTTCATTACAATATCCGCAAAAATCGGTGACGCTGGAGATCACATAGGAAGTCATTTTTTCTGCTCATACACCTTGTAATCATACATTAAATATCTTGATTTTTTAAAACAAAGAGTCAGTATTTCATTGAAGAGGTTTTGTTACAAGACGTTTTCGACCTCTAACGAGGCGCTACACTTTTCATATCCCATAGGGATAGCAGATTTTGTAAATAAAGAAATCGAACAAATGCTGAAAATAATATAATAGAACCATCAAAGCCACCGTATTGCCGGCATGGGCTGTTGACAAAAACCCATCGATTAAGATGAAATTTATGCGTTAAGTAAAGAGCATTCTGACATGAGGGTAGATGTACCAAATGACAAGAAAATTGCAATCAATCCAACCATAAAATGTGATGTAAGTTTAGACATCATAAATTCTGTTCTAGTGTTCAATGGTATTCAGAACAAATATGTGTCGTGGAGGCAATCAGCAAAGACCTAAAATGATAAAGACTAGAAAAAATGAATTTGGTGAAATCGTTTGTATCTGCAGTACATAGAGTATCAGCTCATATCAGAGGCATGTTAATATAAACAAATTAAAAAGCAGTAAGTTTGGCCGGGCCGAACTTTGAATACCCTCCACCATATGGAACGAATTTGGAAATTTTCCAAAAATAAAATCCTTAAAAAATTCAGTTAAAATTTTAAAAATACCGAATATATCGGTTATATTGGGGTCTATACGACGTGGACCTACATAGGCATTGTTTGTCATAAGTTATTCATTCGAAACTTGAAATAAACGGTGAATTATGTAACTAAAATCATCAAAATATCGTATATAGGGAGGTACCGTTATATCGGAGCTGTGCGAAGACCTGGACCAGCATAGAAAATTTTCTGTCACAGGCTATAGCATCCATTACGAACGTCAAATACGACATCTCAAGCAATTTCGGTGTGTATTGTACCTAAACTCGTCAAAAAACCGAATATAGGAAGGTACTGATATGGCCCATTCACAAACTTAATCTACCTACTGGAAAAATAAACACGTGTGCAAAATTTTAGCCTTCTATCTCAGTTCGTTCGAAAGATAGCGTGATTACAACAGACAGACGGACAGAAAGACAGACAGACGGACATGGCTAAATCGACTTAGAATTTTAGGCTGATCAAGAATATATAAACTTTGTTGGGTCTGACATGAGTATTTCGAGGAGTTACAAACGGAATGACAAAGTTAATATACCCTCCATAGTATGGTGGAGGGTATATTTACACATTACAGAGACGATTGGCAAATAAAAGATTGAAAAATCCAAAAATGTGGTTTGAAAATTTTATTCCATAGACCTTTCCAAAAATTTGCATATTGCCTTAGAGGTTTAAATCAGTTAACATTTGTAACTATATTGTTAAAATATCATGACAACAGAGGTATTTTCAAAAGGTTATTACAAACTACAAAATCAACAGACAACATCTAATAAACTTCCAGAAATACATGAAATGCTGAGTGGTATAAACATACTAATGAAACAAATGTCTAACCTTCTTACGAATATCACTGAAAAACTTTCCTAAATGTAAAGAAAGGAAATTTTAAAAGTTGTATTCTGGAATGCAAATGGATTCTCACAACATACGTTAGAAGTTTCAAATATCTTACAAAATAAAACTTCTATCACGTTATGCGACCATCTGGGAAGGCGTGTGGTGGTTCAGGCATATTAAAAAAAATACAATGAAACATCACTAAGGAAGACATTATTGCACACCTGAAATACAAGCGACAAGTATTATTGTTCATACTGTACATGGGCATCTTACAGTTTTATAACATTTTAGACCCAAGGCACAACGTAAAAAAAGATCTATACGTTAGTAACTTCAATACTCTGGAAAATAAGTTCATAGCATGCGGAGATTAAAACGCAAAACACGCCCATTGGGGATCACGTCTTACAACACCAAAGGAAGACAACTCTTTTGGGCTATAAAAGACCTTCATTTAAGAACTATTTCTCCCAATTCGCCTACTCACTGGTCAACTGATTTAAATAAATCTCCAGATCTCATAGATATTTGTGTCTTCAAGGGCATTCCAGAAAACTCAGAAACATGTGTAACTAGCTACAACTTGTCTTCTGATCACTATCCAGTGTCTCTAGTGCTTACAACATGTAGACCAAAATTGTAAATTGTACAATAAAAAAACAAACTGGTACCTATTTCGTTATTAAATCAGCAATACTATAAAACAAAAGCTTTCCTTAAAAACCGACGAAAAAATTACAGAAGCTGTTAAACATCTAATTCAAGTCATCCAAATGTCATCATGGAACTTACGCCTAAGTGTAGCTTCGACAAACCCTCAAACTTTAATATTACATTAGAAAGGAAGCTATCAGAAAAAAGAAAGGCTAGTAAATGGAGACAACAAACTAAATCGCCAGAAGACAAAAAAAAAATTAAGACACATCTGATCTTCAAAAACTGTTAAAAAGTATAAACGAAAGGAACACTGAAGAGAAATTCGATATTTGAGTACAACATTGAGTACAGACTATTCACTGTGGAAGATAACCAGAAATATAAAAAAAAGCTTAAAATGAGCTATCCAATTAGGAAATTTGATAACAGCTGGACAAAAAGTAACCTAGAAAGAGCAACACTGTTTGCAAATCACTTATTTAACGTCTTCCCGCCTAATAACTCTGAAGAAACACCTAATTATATTAAATAACTAAATCAGCCTCATCAACTCGATTTACCCATAAAAAAAGTCCTCAAAAAAGGAAGTTTCGGAAGCGATAAGACCTTAAAACTTGGTAAAGCTCCTGGATATGACCTAATTTCTCCAAAAGTTCACAAGATGGTCTTAACCTTATCACATCTTGTTTAACGCTTGTTTAATACGCAATTTCATTCCCCCTCAATGGATAGTAGTCCAAATTACTATGATCCAAAAACCTGGAAAACCGATGGACCAAGTTAAATCTTACCGGCCAATTAGTATATTATCTCCAAAGTGTTAGAATCACTGTTTCTTAAAAGGTTTACACCTATTATTGAGGCAAACAAACTTATTCCACCACATAAATTTGGGTTCAGAAAAAGTCATGGAAATATTGAACAGATTCATAGGCTAGTCGAAACAATAAATGTTGCATTCGAATCAAAGCAATATTGCAGTTCGGCATTTTTAGACATATCACAAGCATTTGATAAAGTATGGCATGTTTACGGTTTACTATACAAAGCAAAACAACTTCTTCCAATCAATTTATTTATAAAATCTTATATACAAAACAGATTCTTGTACACGAGATTGACGAAAACAGCAACCTTGTGTGCATAAGAGCTGGTGTTCCCCAAGGTAGTGTTATGGGTCCAATATTATACCTTCTGTTTACTTCAGATCTTCCGCAATCTGACACTGCTGTTCTTGCAGTACACAAAAATCCTGACATGGACAGTAGTTTGCTACAAAAATTTCTCATCATACTTTATAAATGATCCAACCAAAGTCCAACCATGTAACATTCTCTCTCAACCAGGGAATATGTCCATCTGTACAAATGAATCAAATAACACTACCTTAGGAGAAAGAAGTTAAATACCTCGGTCTATACCTAGACAATAAACTGAAATGGCAGACAGAATTACATCCCAACCCTTTACCTGCAATCTTAATGGCAAGCTCTGAAACTTTTACAAGACTGAAAAGGAGAGTCCCTCAAGATTTAATTTACGATTTTAACGAATTATACTTAAAATTTGTAAGAACTATTATTATTATTTTTTTCTTTTTTTTTTTTAATTAAATAACTTTTAATAATTTCCTAATTAATGTAAATATCAAATTAAGATAGAAAGTTTTAATACATATATTATAAAAAAGTGAAAATAATAGAATGTCGTCGGAGTGCTTTAAGGTGAGAAAGGGAGAGTTTGTTGCGGGTGACTCTTTCCGAATTTTCGGACTAACTTCATGTTCATATTGATGGGGATTCTCTCTCCATCATTTATAAAGCGCCATTTTTGATTTAAGAGAATTTGAAGGAGTGCAACATTTTGAAGTAAAGTGCTAGAATCTTCTTAGTTTATGTTTGTTAAAATTATTTAGAATTTTGCCCACTGAAATTTAATTTTATGATAAAAAACTAAGATAAAACAAACAAAAACTATTAACTCTTTACGTATCCTTTCAGGAATCCATGGTTCTCCGCCACCACAATGAAGCTGAAAGCCTACATGCAGTTCAATTAATGGATTGGGAACTTGCTCTCAAAAAGTATGAACTTTTTGATATTTCCCAGCAACCACAAATTAATGCTGACCATGTTCCAATAGTTCACGTTAGCGATGATTTCGATTTATTACCAGCGTAAATTTATGATGTATGCGAATATCATATGTATGTTTTATTAAATAAATACGTATATCTCCGTAAAGTATTTTGTTTTTATTATATATCTAGTGAAAATGCCGCACATTCCGTTTGTTTAAAGAAGAATGATTTCCAGTTTGCTGCAACACATTGTCAAAATATATATTTATAAATCCATTGTATATACCCAAATCAGGACGGAAACCTGTTTTCTATGCAATTAACAAAGTCTTTTTTTGAATTCCACTTGTGGGAACTTTAAGTATTTATCGTATTTCATTTGTTTCCATTTTTATCATGAAGTACACACGCTATTCAATATTTATTTCAGAATGTAGAATGCACATATTTCAACCTATATATAGAAACAACAAGAAGATAATGAGAAATATGTAAACAAAATAATGATAAGAGAGAAAATTTAATAAAAAAATGCCATGGTACACTGAATTGGAGAAGTTCTACAATACATTATAGGCCACACAAGTTATATGGAAGTGTATATCAGTCTTCTACTGCCGATTTGAGAGCAGGGATTAATATCGTTATTGAATGTATTGCATGATTATATTTACATTTTTCTGTTACATATATATATTTTACTTACAAACATGTGAATTTGTTGTGATAACCAAATTTTGGTAAACAAACAAGTGATGGAAGAATCAACGTCAGACCTCGAAAGCAGCAACATTTACCGCGGAAAGTGTAACCATCTTCAATCGAATCTGACATCTTTGCATATCCTGGAGACTTCCTTAAAGGATACTGTGTGAGTCCTTAGATATCCTTTGTGAGTACTTCTTAAAGTCTTTCGCAACCGTATCCTTGTAGTCTGCTCAAGTATTTCTTTAGGTCTCTTGCAACTGTGGATTTCAATATCCTTGTTGTCTGCTTGAGTACTTATGAAGGTCAATTGCAATCGAATATACTTGTAGTCAACTTGAGTACTTGCTAAGGTCTCTTTTAACTGTATATTTGAATATCCTTGTTGTCTGCTTGAATACTTATTAAGGTCTCTCGCAACATTATCCTTGATTATCCCCGTAGTATGCTTGAGTACTTATTAAGTCAACTTGAGTACTTGCTAAGGTCTCTTTTAACTGTATATTTGAATATCCTTGTTGTCTGCTTGAATACTTATTAAGGTCTCTCGCAACATTATCCTTGATTATCCCCGTAGTATGCTTGAGTACTTATTAAGTTCACCTTCAACACTAGCAATAGAATATGCTTGTAGTGTTCTTGAGTACTTTTTAAATATGACAATCGGAGAGATTTCACTGACCTAACCGGCCTGCTCGAAATGACTGAGGACTTAGGAGTAGACACCGGGGCAACCAGATGTTTTATGAGTGAGAAAATGCCGCAGTCAATTATCCCCACGCAATGAAAAACAAGAAGGGAACTACAAGCAAGGTTGGCAGACGGGCCCCAGCAAAAATTACACCGAATGATGATAATAGCGGTATCCATCGGTCGAAGTCGGCTCCAAATTGACTTTTTTTGCTGCCAAATGCCAGGCATAATTCTCTTCCTTCGGAGAATCCCGACGAGGATCGAGTGCGCCGGAGCTGAAATACTCCGAACCTCGAAGCAACCTATCTTGAAGATGAAGATATGGCAAAAAATATGCGTATTGTGATGAAAATCGCCAGCAACAGAGTCCCGAAACACTTCAGCTGCGGATACAATGGGCTAAGCATCACAGTCCAGATTCCTAGGCGGAAACATGACAGCAAAGAGAGCGAAGAAGGCTCTTAAAAGCGCCTGTCACGACGACCGGTAATGTGCGACTAATACCCCCACTCCCCGTAGTGTCACCAAGGCCATGAGAGAGCAAAATCACACCCATGCACCTGGCAGAAAGAAGTGAAGAAAGTCTTGGGTACACTCACTCACACACCGGTGCCCAAAGACGAAAGCAGTACCAAAGGTACCATGCATGTCGGCAGACGACAAACATCGCACACCTCCTAGACGGACGAAACGAGTCCTTACAAACCATCCAAATATGCGTCACCAGTGACCTCCCAGAGAACGAAGCCAAACATTTACTCCAACGAGAAACGCAACTGTTAAAAAGAACATAGTTTTTTGTCCATAGTATGGAGGGTATATTAAGTTTTTTATTCCATTTGTAACACCTCGAAATATACATTTTAGTTAGACCCCACAAGTACATATATTCTTGAACAGCATAAAATTCTATGTTGATTTAGCTATGTCTGTTCGTCTATGGAAATCACTCTAGCTTTCGATGGAAATGAAATAGGTTGATAAAATGTTCCTCAAACGTATATTCTTATGCTTGCAGGAGTTTTGGTATTGAAAATGGGACATGTGGGTCTACGTTTCAAATTTAGTATTTCAAGCTCGTAATGATTACTACAGCCTTTGACAGAAAATTGTCTGTGCAGGTACCTCCATATATTCGGTATTTTGATGATTTTAGCTACATTATTGACCGAGTTCTTACAGTTTCGCATTTGATTGTTGTAATGACCTACGGCAAAAGTTGTCTATGTAGGTCCACGTCGTCATATAGACCCTAATATAACGGCTATATTCAATATTTGTTAACCTAAATAAAGAAAGACGATATTACACTGTTATTTACTATTATAAATTAAGTAGAGAGATTATTTAATACAGTATTTCCTGTTAACTTATATACTTTTGTTTCCGCGCGTTCCCTCCGTTAAATACTATTTTTAATTTATTGAAACTACACGTGTAGAAATGTATGATTTTTTATACCCTCAGCCATATGGCCACAGAGTGTATATATCATTTGATACGGTCAAAACGTGCCTAGTCGAAATAACGGTTTTAGACACTAAGTCTCTTCAGACCGTTTCAGGACATTTGTCCGTTTCAGGACATTTGCAGTCGATCTAGCGATACAAATCTATCATAAAGCTCATTTGTACATACGGTATCCAGTTATGGGGAAATGCCTGCACTACAACAATCAAAATACTGCAACAGTTTCAATTAAACACATCGCGTAAAATTACCGGAACACCATACTTCGTAAGGAATAAAAGATTACACGAGGAACTGAACATTAAAACCGTCCAAGAAGAAATAGTACATCAACTAAAAACTGAGAACAGAATCGCACCCAACCCCTTAGCTGCAAAATTAATGGCAAGCTCTGAAACTTTTACAAGACTGAGAAGGAGAGGCCCCAAGATTTAATTTAACGATTTCAGCCAATTAGTCCTAACATTTGTAAGAACTATTATATTATATATGAATCAAAGAACTCCAGTAATAAAAATCGCTGGGTGAACCCTGTTGAATTAAATAACTTTTATATAATTTTTTTTCATATAGTTTTCTAATTAATGTAAATATTAAATTAATATAGAAGGCATTAATAACAAGTAAGCAAAGGCTACAGCCGAGCGGGGCCGACCGTTGAATACCCTACAACACCATAATAAACGATACAGTTTATATAGGCGAGATACTCGAAAGAATTCCACAAGATATTGTGACAAATAATAAAAGAAAACCATCAGGTTTCGTTCTCTAATTTTCGAATAATAGCAACCTTACCTAATTTGCTCATTTCCAATTTATTGGTAGATGTTGCACTTAAATGGTCTTCCTAGATCTGGAACCAATATTTCCCAAAGACCTATAATCTCTCAGAAGTGGCAAAATATTAACATTTATTTATGGTTTTTGACTGAAACGCATCTATATGAGATACAGACATTTGACTATATTCTTCAACGTGAAGAATTCTCGTGAAATTTGGGAATTCTCCAAAAAGTCTCTGTAATGGACATTTTCGTATTTTGTCTACAAAAGTTGGCAAACTATTTAACACATATGAATATTTTTGGATGGCCATTAGAAACTGCTTGGCTTTTGCAATGTGCGGTAACCCCCATTCAAATGTGCGTGAAGATCGGGCGATAATTACGACCTGCTGACAATTTTGCAGTTTTTTGGTCCATTTCAACCCCTAAATATATGGCGATCATCTCCAAAAAGAGTAGGCTTCTATTCTGACACTCATCCCCATGCAAAATTTCGTAAGGATCGGGCCATAAATGCGATCTGTATATGATATCCTGATATCCTAACTACTTAGTTTTGTTAGCTGTAGAAATATTACCAAATGTTTAATTCAAAATGAAAATATGCCAAAAATATTACAAAATGGAAAAAATATGAGAAAATGTTACAAAATCAATATTTTCATCTTTAGAGAGATATTTGTATGCGTTTTTTAGACGTTTTTCCTTTCCTGCCAAGAGGCCATTCTGAATTAATGAGAACTGTCGAAATCAGTTCAGCCGTTCTCGACATATATGAGATCTTTTAAGCATATCTTCTTTGATAGACATATATATCGCATATATTTGCTATATATTCGATTTTTTGGATCTTAACATCAATGCAAAGATCAGAAGTAACCTTGTCATGACTTTGCGATTTCCCCGGGATATAAAATATTCGCGGTTTAATGAAAAATTTTGAATTTTTTCAACAAAAAATATATAGTCTATTTTACCCGCTAAATATTATCCGATCACCACCCAAAACTCTAGCTACATTTGCGAAATTCCGCGTCGATTGGTCTATAATTGCGACCTGTATAGCTACTGCAAAATCTGACATTTTTTTAGTATTTGGTCCATTTGAACCCCTAAACATTTGGCGATCATCTCCAAAAGAAATATGGTTCTATTCTGACCCTAGCCCCAACTCCATTCTAAATTTCGTGAAGATCGGGTCATAATTGCGACCTGTAGAGTGATTACAAATTAACATGGACAGACGGACATACATAGCTAGATCGACTCAGCTCGGCGAGATAGGAAGATCCATATATACTTTCCTATGTGGGAAATCAATATTTTGTGGTGTTACATAAGTTTTAGCCCAATCAAACTTATAATACCCCCAACACATAGTGTTGTAGTTTATAAATATATTAAAAAGAAAGTGAAAATAATAGAAAGTCCGTCGGGGTGCTTTAAGGTGAGAAAGGGAGAGTTAGTTGCCGGTGACTCTTGATGGGGATTCTCTCTCCACCATTTATAAAGCGTCATTTTTGATTTAAGAGAATTTGAAGGAGTGCAACATTTTGAAGTACGAATACAGATTCATAGACAAAATGTCCAAAAGTGGTAGAATCTTCTTAGTTAATGTTTGTTAAAATTATTTAGAATTTTGCCCACTGAGATTTAATTTCATGATAAGAAACTAGGATAAGATAAACAAAAACTATTAACTCTTTACGTATCCTTTTATGAATCCATGGTTCTCCGCCACTACAATGAAGCTGAAAGCCTACATGCAGTTAAATTAATGGATTGGGAACTTGCTCTCAAAAAGTATGAACTTTTTTATCTTTCTCAGCAACCACAAATTAATGCCGAGCATGTTCCAATAGTTCACGTTAGCGATGATTTCGATTTTTTACC